AGGTCAGGAGTTCAAGACCAGCCTGGCCATCATGGTGAAACCCCATCTTAAAAAAAAAAAAAAAGAAAAAAAAAGAAAGTAATAGCTGTTACCCTTCTATGGCTATCATTTGAGCAAATATCGGTTTAAATTGTGATAAACATGCATATTCCAGAGATGTATTTATAAATGCATGCTGATCTTCACCTACAAAATCCACATTAAATATTTATATAGGCCCACTAGAATATTCTAGAACCCTTTTACTGTAATCAGGCCAAAAATAGTAATGTTGCTGGAACCAGAAATAAAAAGTGGAACATAGTTTGTGGTAAGAAGCTGCAGAAGAAAATATGACCATCATATACTCAGTCAGAGGCATCTGGGCATAAATCAAAGAATCAATCACTCAAGGATCCGGTGGGTGGTGGAGACAGCAAACCGGACGTACATGGGCTCTGGCGTCAGAGCTAGATTTGATTGCAAGCGGCTACCTTTCCAGTTTTGTGACTTAGAACGTGCAACTATCTAGATCTGAGTTTCTGCCTTTATAAAGTGGTGATAAAATTGCCAATCACTTCATGATTAAATGAAACAAATTCTGTGACAGCGCCCAGCGCAGTTCCTGGCAGTGGAAAGCATTCAGTGGGTAATCATTCACACCGCCCATTCTCACCACATTCCTTAAGCGCTTCCTTGCAGTTGTTATTTTTTTCAATTGCTTTCGTTTTAACACTTGGGTTGCTCAATCTTCCCTCAGTACTGCCTTTTAGAAAGTTAGAGAATATTCTTGTGCGGTTTCTTTTTCAGTAAGAGCCTGAGGTATAAGTAAGAAAATTTATGTCTTTTTTTTTTTTTTTTTTTTTTTTGAGATGGAGTCTTGCTCTGCTCTGTCGCCCAGGCTGGAGTGCAGTGTCTCTGATCTCGGCTCACTACAACCTCCACTTCCCGGGTTCAAGCAATTCTCCTGCCTCAGCCTGTCGAGTAGCTGGGATTATAGGCATGCACCACCCTGTCAGACTACTTTTTGTATTTTTAGTAGAGACAGGGTTTCACCACATTGGTCAGGCTGGTCTTGAACTCCTGATCTCGTGATCTGCCCGACTTGGCCTCCCAAAGTGCTGGGATTATAGGCGTGAGCCACAGCACCCGGCAGATTTATGTCTTAATGAGACAACGTGAGATGAATTATTTAATTGAGATCTATATATTTTTAAAAACTGACATTTACTTTAGAAGTGTTTTGGCATTTCTACAATCCATATTATTTTATAATTTCAAAATGGCTTTAATAGGATTATTTCCACAGATTTGAATCATTTTTCTAACCTAGGAAAGTAAAATGTTTTTCTTCTCTATAAAAATTCTTTAATCTTTTGATCCATTATCAAAATTAACAAATCCTTGTTGTAATTTAATTATAGTCATAATTTATTTTTATGTGACAAATGTTTGCTTTGTGGGTAAGATAAAATTGAACTTCTACTTGCTTTTGATGAATATTTAATTGGACACTAAATATGTAAAAAATGCTGATTTTCCTAATCCTATTCTATTTAGTGTGAATATCTATGTAGGGTAACAATTTTTTTTTCTTGGGACACCCAAGCTGAGTTGCAGTGAGTCAAGACTATGTCACTGCACCTGGCCATATAACAACAATTTTAAAAATGATTGTTGGCCAGGCGTGGTGGCTCACGCCTGTAATCCCAGCACTTTGGGAAGCCGAGGTGGGCAGATCACCTGAGGTCAGGAGTTCAAGACCAGCGTGGCCAACATGGTGAAACCCTGTCTGTATTAAAAATACAAAAATTAGCTGGGTGTGGTGGTGGGTGCCTGTAATCCCAGCTACTTGGGAGGCTGAGGCAGCAGAATCACTGGAACCTGGGAGGACGAGGTTGCAGTGAGCTGAGATCTCACCATTGCACTCCAGCCTGGGCAACGAGAGCAAAACTCTTATCTCCAAGAGTCTTACAAAAGACTTTTAACAACTTACTAAATCTTTCCTAGAATACTCTAAGGTAGAGATTACTATCATTAATGTTTAATATGAGAAAAAATAGTCTGGAAAAGCTAGTTTGGCCACTGTCACCAGGCTTTTCTGTGTAAAGCTGGGATTCCTACTGTACTTTGTATTCCCTTTTATACATAATTTAGTAAAATATATTAATTGTCCTGCATATACTTCAAGTGCAACTTCTAAATATGATTTTAAGTGATAGCAGAACTTTAGGACCATTTAAAAATATTATTTGGGGCTGGATGTGGTGGCTCACACCTGTAATTACAGCACTTTAGGAGGCTGAGGCGGATGGATCATTTGAGGTCAGGAGTTCAAGACCAGCCTGGCCAACATGGCAAAACCCTGTCTCTATTAAAACTACAAAAATTAGCCAGGCAGTAGTGGTGCATGCCTGTAATCCCAGTTACTCTGGACGCTCAAACAGGAGAATCGCTTGAACCTGGGAGGCAGAGGTTGCGGTGAGCCGAGATCGCTCCACTGTACTCCAGTCTGGGCAACAGAGTAAGAAGCTGTCCCTCCCTGCCCAAAAATATTATTTGGTTTTGTTATAAAATACAAATATATTATTGGAATGAACACTGAAGCTGTAAATGGCATTCAGTAGCCTAGTGGTAAGGTGAAATATACATAGACACAAAGATTCTGTAAAAAATAATAAATTTATGTATGGAACTGGGTGATTTTATATATACAGGATATTATGTACATATATACCAAAGGGTGAGGACAGTATGCTAAGTTTGGCAAGACAGGCACAAAAGGAAAAAAAGAAAACCTATAATTTCACTCATATGAGGCACCCAGATTAATCAAATCCACAGAGACAGAAAGTAGAGGGGTGAGTGCCAGAGGCGACCAGGAGCAGGGAATGGGGACTTGTTAAATGGGTACAGAATTTCAGTTTTGCAAGATGAAAAGAGTTCTGGAGCTGGATGGTGGTGATGATCATGAAATAATATGAATGTACTTAAGACTACTGAACGGTACACTAAAAACGGTTAAAATGGTGAATTTTATGTTACGTGTATGTTACTATAAATTGAAAAAGAGGAACACCAAGTATTTCCAACTACTTTGCAAATATAGATTTATCGTGCACTTGGTTTTTATAACGTTCTTTTTGCTACTAATAGTGCATGTATCTTTTCAAAATTTAAAGTAAACTGACATTTTCAAGAATGCCTTTTGGACATTTCAAAGCCACATAGGGGCACCTTTCTTTTCCACTAAAAGGTTCAAAGGTTTTGCCTTGCTTGCAGATGGTGTAGAGATGAACAGCATAAACATGCTTTGTGTTAAGAACTGCAAAAAGCTTTGGGAAACTTATGCTGACACTTTTCAGGGGAAAATAACAGGCTTGTAAAATACAGGAATGGTAAGTCTGTAGCATCTCAATTAACACTTGAGGGATGAGCAGACATTCATGAGGTCTCCTGGGGGAGGGGGCACCCCAGGAAGATGCAACAGTCAGTGTGAAAGCACAGAGGGGATGGAGCCTGTCATGTCTGGGCACAGCGTAGGGGAGGAGGTCCTGCCGGTCACAGCCCAGACTATGAAGGGCTGTGAGTGTCCAGTGGAGCACCTGGGATTTCCTATGGCTGATGTGATGTAGGAGCAATGAAGCATTTCACCAGCTTGCACTTAACAAAGTCGCTTTGACACCAGCAAGAGAGGCAGATTGCAGAGGAGGAGGAGGCTGTGAACAGGCACCAAGTGTGGAGTCAGTAGGACTTTCTGGCCTCCTTTGGATGTTAATAAGCGCCATCTAGTTATAAGTGAAAAGTCTTGAAAATAAAGACAACTGATGCGCAAGTAACAGTCAGGTAGTAGTCACTGGTAACATATTATTCCAGAACACACCCTCTTGTCTTCTACAGGAGAGGTTGTTAATATTTGAACAAAAATTCTTACCTAAGGTCTTGAAACGGGTCGGCTCTGACAAGGGGTGTCTCCACTGAATGTTCAAAAAGAGCCCCTTCAGGCCCTAAACAATAAACAAAGATGTATCAGGAGCAGAAGTAAAATAGGTGGCATCAAACGAAACAAACATTTAGCCTAGATATTAAAGAACACAGAGATTTTGTTCTTTGTTGCAGAATTTTTGCAGATGTTTGAGTTACAGGTGGAAAAATGGGCCCAACTGCTTCCTTACTTTTCTGAGGTTATCACAATTTCACTATGTTCCTATGAACAAAATATGGGGTTTTTTTTCCAAAGAAATTACAAGTTTGCAGGCTTATTTTAAAACTAGAAAGCAATGTTAGTCTTCAAGTCAAAAAAGAAAAAAACCCCTGAAATTTGCATATATCCATATATTTTAAGTAATAGTAATTTGACTAATTATCTAGATTTTATGTGTAAGAATAGTATCTTGTGCTATTTGTTTCTAAGGCACTCAAGATATTTACAGAAAAAGTACAAGCTTTAAATATTTAAAATAGACCTTCTAATTCCCAGAAATCAGCATGTTCCTAGTTGTTTCATGAGTATGAGAACCTAATTATATGCAAGGCCCTGTGTCAGTTGGGGTGCAGAAACACAGGTGAAAGTGACGTGCTCTTTGATGTATCCTAACTTGTTTAATACTCAGACCCCTACAATGCAGGTAATATTTTCCCATTGTACCCATCAGGAGGCTGAGGAAGGGAAAGGATAATTAACTTGTCTAGGGTTCCACAGCTGAGAAGTGGCAAGGCTGCGATTTGAATTCAGAGCTCACATTTTCAATCTATATGCCATAGGCTTTCTCATACATAAATAACAAGATATCATAGAAAGTTACGTGCCAGTAGCAACGTGCAGCCAAATTATTTGGAGGGTCATCAATGGGGACGAATTACTTTAAGGCACCAGGGATGACTATATAGGAAAACGAAGTGGATCTGAATCTTAAAATAAACGAACTTCTATGAGCATATGGAGATTGCGAGCAAGAATTTCAAAAAGAGCAGCAGTCCAGGGGCAGGAAAATGTGCTGAGTGCCCAGGAATAAGCAAATAATCCAGTTCACTGGAAGCAAAGAATTCTACGTTGAATACATATGTATCTTTCACATTATAATTTAAACCTATATCCTCTTGAATTTTATGGGCATATTCACAGATATAAGCAGCACCACATTGCTTATATATGCTCGTCATGATTTCCCCAGGTTGCTCATGCTTATCTTAGGCCCTGCCCTGCCTGGGGTTCCACCCCTGGCTCAGGCCCTACCCTTGGCTTAGAGGCTGTGGCTGCCGCCCACTAAGAGTTCTTCTGTCTCTTGTGGTTCTACAGGAATCTCGGGAGTTATCCTCACGCTGTGCACTTTCCTCTTTAGGAAATACAGAGGGTCCCCGACTTGCCATGGCTTTACAGGGAGACAACCCATTGCAAGTTGGGGAGCTTCTATATTGAAATAGTTAAAATGTTTATTTTTTAATCAACCCTTGTAGTAGTTTCAGTATTAGATACTGAAGAAAAATTGCCTGAGTAAAAGTTCCCACCCTCTGTGTTGAGAAATCCTTACCCTGGGCAAAAGGTCTTGTGAGCAACTGTTACTGATTTTTCTTTCTTTCTTTTTTTTTTTTTTTTTTTTTGAGACGGAGTTTCATTCTTGCTACCCAGGCTGGAGTGCAATGGCGCGATCTCGGCTCAGCGCAACCTCCGCCTCCTGGGTTCAGGCAATTCTCCTGCCTCAGCCTCCTGAGTAGCTGAGACTACCCACCACACACACTCGGCTAGTTTTTTTGTACTTTTAGTAGAGGCAGGGTTTCACCATGTTGGCTAGGCTGGTTTCAAACTCCTGACCTCAGGTGATCGCCTCAGCCTCATAAAGTGCTGGGATTGTAAGTGTGAGCCACTGTGCCCCGCCAGCCCTACGGTTCACAGGACCCCCACATGTTTTTCACAGTATTGCTTACAATGTTATCTTTGTTATTATAATTACTACTTCCTTAGTAATTTTATTTAAATATGAAGATATGATAAAAACCCACACTGGAAAAAAGCCCTTGTCCAAGAAATAATAGCTTGTGGCACAAAAGCAAAACAGATTTAAATCAGAACAAAGAGAAATTTTAAAATTACAAACAGATTTAGTAGGATGATTTACATAAAAACTATAATCAACTGAAATAAAAGAACACACATAAGTGATGGTTAAAGTCTCATGAAATTTATATTATAATTTATGTAAATTATATTCAGATGAGAAACATCCTCATACATGCTATAACAAGTCACATCTTAAAATACCATTGAAGCAAACCTAAATGATAATGGGAACCATTATGTAAAGTAAGGCTATACTAAGCCCTGGAGTTTCCACAACAAACGGTGCCAAATTTTATAGTACAATATCTGGTTTGCCTGAAGTGTAGACATTTCCTGTTTGGCATGGAGAGGAAAATAATTTAGCATAGTAATTTGTATAATAATGTGTATTCATTTTATCCTTTTCTTCCTCCTCGCTTCTTCTGATTTGCAAAATAAAATGTAAGGAAAAATACACCTCAAGTCCATTCTCAAGAAGACACCCAGAGCTACGCTTAGTTTTATATAAGTATATTTATTGTGGTTATGTAGCACTGTTTGAAACCCAAGTAATGCTTTGTTATCGGGAACCTAGAGTGGGCTTGATGAATCATCAAAAGATAATGATTTCTTTCCATAACTAAGATATAGAAATAAAAGGAATGTGGGCATAAAGTTTTCTGCAATTGTTTTCTCTATTTTTACATAAACAAGATGGTATGACTGAGAAAAAAGTCAACACGTTTTACTCTCTGTAACGCATACCCTTGGTAAAACAAAGCTGGAAACTGCAATGTATTCCATTTCCATAGGCAATTTTTATTTTAGCACAACGTTGGGTCAAAATAAATACAGAGATAAATATCTACATGACATGACTTTTGGGGTACTCACAGAATTGCAATTTGGGGCATATCTCTAAATAACAAAGAGAAAAGTTGGGGGTTTTATTAGAAAGAGAAATGTGGGCACGTGTGGTGGCTCACACCTGCAATCCCAGTACTTTGGGAGGCCAAGGTGGGCGGATCACCTGAGGCCAGGAGTTCGAGACCAGCCTGGCCAACATGGTAAAACCCTGTCTCTACTAAAACTAGAAAAATTAGTCAGGCATGGTGGCGCACGCCTGTAATCCCAGCTATTCGGGAAGCTGAGGCATGAGAATCATTTGAACCTGGGAGGCGGAGGTTGTAGTGAGCCAAGATCACACCACTGCACTCCAGTCCAGCCTGGGCAACAAAGTGAGGCTCTATCTCAAAAAAAAAGAAAGAAATGTTGTTTATTGTTTTGAAAGAAGGCTCATGGCACTAGAGAAGCTTTTGGGAGCTGGCAAGCTCTGACTGGTGAGCAAGGGCAGCAGGCAAAACTCTTCCTGGTGTCACGGCAGGTTGTTTCAGCATTTACTAGGTAACACTGGTCTTAGGGTGACAGCAGGCCATTTCAGCAGCTGGGCTTGAGGAAAATACAATTTTTGAAAAAGGTGCTAAGTGCCCTGAGTGCTTTTTCCCCCCGGCACCTCTATTTACTTGGGTATGACAAAATGACCCAATTCATATAATCAACTTTCACAGCAGCTTCAATTCTTTTTCCTCAATCGCTGAATTTATTCAAAGAGTTTCAGTGGCACCATTTTACAGGGCAGTAAAACTCAGTAATTAGTTTTTAAATGCATGCCAATTACTTCCCTTCTAACGTAACTATAATTAGTGATATTGTATTGACATATGATTATGGTAATGTACTTATAGGGAGATATAAAATCTATAAACTGATGTGTATATTTATCTTTAAATAAGGGCACAAGTTTCTCTACATTGAAATGATAAATACCCAAATTATATGATCTTGATTATATCATTACTATTCAGCCTCAAAGTTAAATACTCCTCAGAACTTATTTGCATATAATAAAATACATTTTTCTAACTGGTTTCATAAAATCATTCTCAGTAAATTGTTGTTGATCTTCAATTTAATTTCATTTTCTTTATGTTTGCATTCATTTACATATGAACAGCCAAGATGATATAAGAAATGCAATTGCTGTAATACCTCTTCTTTGTGAAAAATAAATCATTATTTGAAGTTATATAATCCAAAATTTTAGACAGGAAATAAAGTTCTACTATAAAATATCATTATATAAATCATGAATTAAAATGACCCTATATAATATGCATTATTTATACAGTAAAGTATAAATAAAAAAGGAAAATAAAAGAAAGCCCAGTGTAATAATGTTAATTTTTTTGTTTTTAGAATATGTCATTGAGATTAGAAATGGTAAATGGCTTGGCCATTTGTACTGCAAAGTAGTAGTACTCAAACAACGCCATTCTTTTCTTCTGGATCCTAGAGCATTATATGATGAATGATGCTCACGTGAAGATCTGTGATAAGACTATTGTGCAAGACAGATGGAGATAGTCATGAAGGCAGTTGAAAAGTTCATGGTGTGGAGCCCAGCAGTCATGGTGCTCTTGGACAGAGCTCAGCAACCGAATGGCAAATTACTCTAAGTTGCTCCATTCCTTCCAACATACTGCTGTTTCTAGGTTCCTTCAGTTATAGAAATACATAGAATTCAATATTAATACTTCTGTTCCCACAGTAGTATATATCTCAGACATGCATTGGATTTTTGTATCGACACTGTAACTATTTGCTAAGATTCATTCTACGCATTCATCAAGCATTTATGGACTGATAAGGGCTTTTCAAGTGATGCCAAAAAAAATTCCATTTCTCTTGTTCAGCCAAACTTCTGCTTAATGTCCCCACAGAATTCCTCTACTGCCTCCCGTCCTGTTCACTCTTTAACTACGTCAGCCTGCCTTTTGCCTTTATTACTCCAATGAAAAATGCATGCCTTAAGATAGCAATAAATCCAGTGACAATTTCTGTCATCTCTCCTGGGTCCAAATTCTGAGAAAATAGTCTCTCTTGACACCAGAAAAAGGGTTATTGTGAAATTTCTCCCACTGCATTGCCTGACCCTTCTTATTCTCCTTTGGTGGCTGCTCTGCCTTTACTTGGCTTATAATTTTGGCATTTTTTTGGAGCTCAGTTGGTTGATGATGCTCACATTTATCTCTAGTCTAGACTTCTGCTCTGAGCAGTAGCTGACTCACATGCCCAATAGCTGACATGACATATGCACTTAGCAGTTTCCCAGGTTATCTTCAATTTATGTGTCTAAATGTTAACTGTTGATGCTCTCTGCCCATCGCATGTCTTTTCCTCCTCCTCAGGCCTCTCCATTATCCGGAGAGTAATGCCATCACCCAAAACAAATATCATGTTTGAGTCTCCTCCCTGGATGCCTGCCGTATATTTGATTCATGGGCAAGCCTGTAGCTGTCAGATCTTAAACTGGAGTAATTCACTGCCCTCTCTGACCGTCGCTACCACCCAATCCAGGTCACCTTCATTGATTACCTGTACTACAACTGACATCCTCCTAAATGGTCTTATTGCTTCCATTCTTTCCTCCAGTCTCCCTTTTAATGGTTAGCTTGATCTTAAGATGTATAATGAATCAAGGACAACCCTGTTCAAAACAATTCAATGCCTCCCCATTGCTTTAAAACAAATCCTAAATTCTTATAATGGTCAGCAAATCCCTGCATAATCTGGTCCCTCTCTATCTTCCCTTACAACAGGCTTTTTCAGACTCAAATCTGGTAAGATTAAAAAATAAAAATCATGAAATAATATGGCATAGATAAGCCAAACAGAGCAGTTATCACAATGAACGTGAATGTTTTAAATCACATTAAAATAAATTATGTTATAAAAAGTAAATCCAGCCAAATGCCACATACAAAGAAAATTCAAATAATTTAACTTAATATGAGGAAAATTTAGGCTTGGAAAGTAACTTAAGATGCCAAATCAATGAGGCCCTCTTATTGACACATATTTAGAGAAGTCTTTGCAGAGGGAAGTGATGTTTGCAATCGATGGAATCATTTTGCAACCAAAAAGGGAAACATCAACATACTTGCAGAGAAAAAAAAGGTAGCGTAGAATAGTACTTGGCTACTAAAATATTACTTGGCTACTCAATTAGTCAACCTACGGTTACTCTTTCCCCAGCCTTCCTATGTGAGATAATATATGTCCTTCCAGTTTAAGCCTGTTTTAATTGGGTCTCTTGTCCCTTTCAGCTGAAATACCATTGACTGCGGCACAGCGTTGATCGCTGCGTGCAGTGCTGCGTCACAGAGCGTTCTGTGCCCTTGGATGTGTGTTTGAAGGGTATGGTGCTCCTAAAAGCACCTTCCAGATATCTATCTTCACGACTTTTTCTGAGAACTCGACTTAACATCCTTATTTATTTTCACTTTTTCAGTTGCTGAGTACTTCATTCTCCAGGTCCATTTTTGTCACTGGCTTTATGGGTGACTCTAGCATTCCTGCACTATCACTTGTGACTTTATGTGATCCTGCTTAGCTGCACAGAACGCACAAAGAAATGGAATTGGGACTATCGATAGATCTTACTTTTCCTCATTAGTGGTGGGAAATGGATACGATTATAGAACTCTGTTTTTAAATGTAATGTTGGGAAACGGACTGAGTCTAGCAAATTGTTGCCAGGAAGCTAAAATACACTTAGGGTAACCAAACTTAACAATTTGTTATCTGCCAGAAGTCAGTTCTGGCAATGGTGTAGAACAGTTTTTTGAAGACAACATTTTGATGTTATTCCAATAGTATGCTCTGTAACTTGGGTTAATAAAAGCAACATTAACTTTGGCCACTTGGTGACCAATTCTGTTTTTTGTGGGGGAGGAAGATGAGCCTGCTCTAAACTGCTTTTAGACTGAGCTGGTGAAATTGTTTAATCGCTTTCATAAATTTCACTTAAAAACTGGTATTCAGTATCCTAGTTGACTAAAGTCTAAATGGAAGTTGTTTAAGAATTAAAGAGAGGTTTTAGATTTTTGGGTAATTAGACAATAGCAATAGCAATTGTCTTAATTACTCAAAGAATGGCAATTCTTGGTGCCGTGAGGAGTTTTGAGTGCACTGTCTTAAGGAGACAGCCACTTTACCTTGGCCTTTCACCAGAGCTGTGGGCTGCTGTGCAAGTGACGAGAGCAGAGAAAAGAAGCGAAGAACTGGACTTTCTTTTTTTTTTTTTTTTGAGACGGAGTTTCGTTCTTGTTACCCAGCCTGGAGTGCAATGGCGCGATCTCAGCTCACCGCAACCTCTGCCTCTTGGGTTCAAGCAATTCTCCTGCCTCAGCCTCCCAAGTAGCTGGGACTACAGGCACACGCCACCATGCCCAGCTAATTTTTGTATTTTAGTAGAGATGAGGTTTCAGCATGTTGACCAGGATGGTCCCGATCTGTTGACCTTGTGATCCTCGGCCTCCCAAAGTGTTGGGATTATAGGCATGAGCCACCGCGCCCGGCCGGAAGAACTGGATTTTCTTTCCAGTCCCTACGGTGAGGCTGCCTGTCTCTTCCTATCACTTCTCTTTCCTTCGCTGTCAACTGCTGTTGCTTTTGCTGACACGAGAAACTCCAAGTAGCAAATAGGGACCCAACTTTTATCACAGGTAGTGGAGAAAAGCTTTTTGTTTTTTTTTTGGGGACCGAATTTTTGCTTTTGTTGCCCAGGCTGGAGTGCAATGGCACCATCTCAGCTCACTGCAACCTCCACCTCCCAGCTTATTATATATTTTTAGTAGAGATGGGTTTGTGGAGAAAAGATTTAATGGGAATTTGTGTTGAAGCATTAAAACTTATAAAAACATTCTTATTATAGTTTACATTTAACAAAACCTGGCCATAATTATAACACCATGATATTATATGAAATAAAAAAGAGGTCAAGTTTTTTGGTGTAACTTTTTCAAACACAGTTGGAGTTATAGGATGGCTCTATTTAGTTTTCTATTTCTGTGTTACGAATTATGGCAAACTTAGCTACTTAAAATGACCCCCATGTGTTAGCTTACAGCTCTGTTGGTTTCAGGTCCCACCCAGTGTGTCTGGCCAGGGTCTGTAATCAGGGTCTCACAGGTGTCAGCCAGGCAGGGCTTTTGTTTGGAAGCCCAGAGCCAGACTCTGCCTCCCGTCTCATGCACGTGTTGGCAGAAGTCAGTTCCTCGTGCTTGCAAGACTGAGGCTCATTTCTCGTCTCCTGCTGCCAGCCAAGGGCCTCTCATGCTCTCTAGAGGCCACCACTCCTTGTCCCATGGTCCCTCTCTCTTCCTGCACCAACAGGGCAGTGAATTTTTCTTGCTTTTCCAATTTCTCTGATTAAAAAGGGCACATGGGATTAGATTGGGCTACCCAGATTACCTTCCTTTGGCCATGTAAGTAACACAATCACAGAGAGACATCTCATGTTCACAGATTCCACCCACACTGAAAGGGGAAGGAAAGGCTCAGTGGTGGAATCCTTGGAACCCTGCCTACCCTAGTGGGACAATAGGACATTGTTCAGTAAATGTTTGCCATTGGTGATGGAACCATAATTTAATAGTCCCCCTTATCACAGTTTCACTTTCTGCAATTTCGCTCTCAGAGGTTTCAGTTATCCACTGTCCTAAAATATTAAATGAAAAATTCCGGAAATAAACAATTCATAACTGTTAAACACTATCTACAATCCTGCATTATTCACCTGGCTCATTTTCTCACATAGGCATTTTCTCATCTCTGTCATCACAAGAAGGGTGAGGACAGTCAAATAAGATCTTTTGAGAGAGAGAGGGAACACATTCACACAACTTTTATTACAGCATATTGTTATATTGTTTTATTTTCTTATGTGTTATTGTTGTTAATCTCTTACTGTGCCTCATTTATAAATGAAACTTTATCACATATGCATGTATGTATAGGAAAAAACACAGTACGGCATATATAGGGTTCAGTACTACCTGCGATTTGAGGCATCACCCGGGGCTCTTTGAGCATATTCTCTGAAGATAAGGAGGGACACCTCTAACACTTAAATTGAAGGCATTGCAATTCATCACCAGGGCGAATATTAATCTTGTGAAGTTAAGATTACTGATCTTTGAAATGACTATCACATCATCATCATGGCTGATTTTCACTTCTTTACTTGCTGGCAAGTCTAACTTTCCTGGTCTTTTGTTAGTGGCTTTGCCAGCGATTCCAGTATTTCTCATCATTTCTGACTTCCTGAAACCCCACATCTTTTGCAAGACATGCAATTGAATTTCACGATCAATTTGTGTCTGCTTTGTTGAATTCTTTATACTATCCTGTGATGGTGAGAGACCAGAGGCTGCAGATCTTTGTAGTGTAAAGCAATGAGAGGTGAAATACTCATTTGAGGTCATGTGCTTACTTTATGGAACAGCTGGGATTGGAACTAAGTCTAATTCTCAAAACGTTACCTATTGTTGTTTGGCAGTGGCTGGCGAGATGGCCGAATAGGAACAGCTCTGGTCTGAAGATCCCAGTGAGATCAGTGCAGAAGGCAGGTGATTTCTGCATTTCCAACTGAGGTACATGCTCATCTCATTGGTACTGGTTAGACAGTGGATGCAGCCCACAGAAGGTGAGCCAAAGCAGGGTGGAGCATTGCCTCACCCAGGAAGTGCAAGGGGTCAGGGAACTCCCTCCCCTAGCCAAGGGAAGCGATGAGGGACTGTGCTGTGGAAACAGCGCTATTTGGTCCAGATACTATGCTTTTCCCATGGTCTTCACAAACTGCAGACCAGGGGATTCCCTCGGGTGCCTACATCACCATTGCCCTTGGGTGTCAAGCACAAAACTAGGCAGCTGTTTGGGCAGACACTGAGCTAGTTGCAGGAGTTTTTTTTTCATACCCCAGTGGCACCTGGAACACCAGTGAGAGAGAAAAGTTCACTCCCCTGGAAAGGGAGCTGAATCCAGGGAGTCAAGCAGTCTAGTTCAGCAGATCCCACTCCTATGCAGCCCAGCAAGCTAAGATCCAGTGGCTTGAAATTCTCACTGCCAGCAGAGCAGTCTGAAGTTGGCCTGGGATGCTCAAGCTTGGTGGGGAGGGGCGTCCACCATTACTGAGGCTTGAGTTGGCAGTTTTCCTCTCACAGTGTAAATAACGCTTCTGGGAAGCTGGAACTGGGTGGAGCTCACCTCAGCTTGGCAAAGCTGCAGTAGCTAGACTGACTCTCTAAATTCCTCTTTTCTGGGCAGGACATCTCTGAAAGAAAGGCAGCAGTCCCAGTCAAGGGCTTATAGATAAAACTCCCATCTCCCTGGGACAGAGAATCTGAGGGAAGGAGCAGCTGTGGGCACAGCTTCAGCAGACTTAAACATTCCCACCAGGCAGCTCTGAGGAGAGCAGCAGATCTCCCAGTACAGTGCTCATGCTCTACTAAGGGACAGATTGCCCCCTCAAGTGGGTCCCTGACCCCCATGTCTCCTGACTGGAAGACACCTCCCAGTAGGGGTTAACAGACACCTCCTATAGGAGAGCTGGCATCTGGCAGGTGTCCCTCTGGGCCAAAGCTTCCAGATAAAGGAATAGGCAGCAATCTTTGCTATTCTGCAGCCTCCACTGCAGCAAATAGGGTCTGGAATGGACCTCCAGCAAACTCCAGCAGACCTGCAGCAGAAGGGCCTGACTGTTGGAAGGAAAACTAACAAACAGAAAGGAATAGAATCATTGCCAACAAAAAGGACACCCACATGAAAATCCCATCTGAAGGTCACCAACATCAAAGACCAAAGGCAGATAAATCCATGAAGATGAGGACAAATCAGCACAAAAGGCTGAAAATTCCAAAACCCAGAATGCCTCTTCTCCAAAGGATAACAACTCCTCACCAGCAAGGGAATAAAACTGGATAGAGAATAAGATTGATGAACTGACAGAAGTAGGCTTCAGAAGGTGGGTAATAACAAACTCCTTTGAGCTAAAGGAGCATGTTCTAACCCAATGCAAGGAAGCTAAGAACCTTAAAAAAAGGTTGGAGGAATTGCTAACTTAAATAACCAGGTTAGAGAAGAACATAAATGAACTAATGGAGCTGAAAAACACAACACAAGAACTTTGTGAAGCACACACAAGTATAAATAGCTGACTTGATCAAGCAGAAGAAAGGATATCAGAGATTGAAGATCAGCCTAATGAAATAAAGTGTGAAGACAAGATGAGAGAAAAAGGCATGAAAAGGAATGAACAAAGCCTCCAGGAAATATGGGACTATGTGAAAATACCAAAGCTATGTTTGATTGGTATATCTGAAAGTGATGGGGAGAATGGAATAAAGTTTGAAAACTCTTCAGGATATTATCCAGGAGAACTTCCCCAACCTAGCAAGACAGGCCAACATTCAAATTCAGGAAATACAGAGACCACCACAAAGATACTCCTTAGGAAGAAGAACAACCCCAACATACATAATTGTCAGATTCACCAAGGTTGAAATAAAAGAAAAAAATGTTAAGGACAGCCGGAGAAAAAGGTCAGGTTACCCACTCAGGGAAGGCCATCAGACTAACAGCAAATCTCTCTACAGAGACTCTACAAGCCAGAAGAGAGTGGGGGTCAATATTCAACATTCTGAAAGAAAACAATTTTCAACCCAGAATTTCATATACAGCCAAACTAAGCTTCATAAATGAAGGAGAAATAAAATCCTTTACAGACAAGCAAATGCTGAGAAATTTTGTCACCATCAGGCCTGCCTTAGAAGAGCTCCCAAAGGAAGCACTAAATATGGAAAGGAAAAACTGGTATCAGCCACTGTTAAAACACACCAAATTGTAAAGACCATTAACATTATGAAGAAACTACATCAACGAATGGGCAGAACAACCAGCTAGCATCATAATGACAAGATCAAATTCACACATAACAATATTAACTTTAAATGTAAAGGGGCTAAATACACCAATTAAAAGAACAGACTGGCAAACTGGATAAAGAGTCAAGACCCATCAGTGTGCTGTATTCAGGAGACCCATCTCACGTGCAAAGACACACATAGACTCAAAAAAAACCAAAAAACAAACAAACAAGGCAGAGGTTGCAATCCTGATCTCTGGTAAAACAGACTTTAAACCAACAAAGATCAAAAAAGACAAAGAAGGGCATTACATAATGGTAAAGGGATCAAGAAGAAGAGCTAACAGCAAGAAGAGCTAGCTATCCTAAATATATATGCACCCAATACAGGAGCACCCAGATTAATAAAGGAAGTTCTTAGAGACCTA